TTAATGACCAATCCTTTGCATATCTGTCTTGTAGGTAAAAGCTCAGGAACCTGTTTTCTCTAGCAAAACTCTCAGGCCACAGGCGCCACCAACACGAGTGATGTCAAACTGCCCCCCCTGCCCCCCCCCAAGGTCAAACGCAACCCTGATGCGGCCTTCGAGTTTGACAAAATGGGGAGGGGCGGGGCGGGATAGATGTGTATTAGTAAATCCATATTGTAGGTAAACCCATTGGCGCATATTTAGCAAAATATAAACTATTGGCGTTTACCTGAAGTAGAAGAAAAATTAGATGGTCTTTGGCCGTGGTTCATTTGCTTAACGCAGAGGGATGCCTAAAAGCTCTTTCTTTCCCATCGTCACACGGAGGTTGGACCAAGCTGGGCAGCAAACAGATCATCTCCGCGGGGACTTCAGAGTTGTGTCCCTTAAACGTCCCTCCCTGCTGCAGCTGGCGGTCAAGCCGTTGCCTCTGGTCTCTCCCGGGACAGCTCTGGGTCTCCTTGGAATGGGCTCTTGCAGAGTGTATTGAGAGAGAGAGAGAACGGGGGGGAGAGCGCAAGTTGTTACAGTATCAGCAGGAAAGTGTATTTCTCGTAACTGATGATAATTAGCACCATAATCTTCAGTCCAAATAGACAATTAGGCAAAATAATTATGTCTCTACAAGATGTCTGTATAACGTTAGTAACTTAGTATGTTTTAGCAACCTAAATTATTCTGTTCTTCTATTATGATGGGTTGACTATGTGTTTTCCCCTAGAATTTAATTAATCTCCCCATTCTAAGAATCGATTAAAACTTGGGAGGCTTCCATACTCATATTTTTTAACATGTATAGACAAGACTGAGAGGTTGTGATCTGGTCATGCATGAGCAGGTCTGATACTCATAAACAATTATGGCGATTATATTCTCATACAAAACAGCCACTCAGCTTCCAGCTCTTTTCAAAGTGTAGTCACAATTGCACTTTTCAAAAAGAGAGAGAGAGAGACACACACACACACCCATCAAAATCTCTGTTTACTCTCTGCCACTCCTGCAGCTTCCTTTGGACCTGCCTCCCAAAATTGTGTGCAGACTTTGCCCACCAAGGGGTCTCCTCTTGATCTCACAGAAGCTATTCTGTCACCTCCTGGTTCAGGATTATGCAAATGGAAAAGTCAATGTTTCTAGAGTAGGGGTCTCCAACCATGGCAACTTGAAGTCTTGTGGAGTTGAAGTCCACAAGACTTAAAGTTGCCACGGTTGGAGACCCCTACTTTAGAGGCAAAGGTTCTGGAGAACCGGTAGGGGAAATTTTGAGTAGTTCGGAGAACTGGCAAATCCCGCCTCTGACTGGCCCCGCCCCCATCTATTCGCTGCCTCCCAAATCCTAGCTGATTGGCTGAGTCTTCTTTGGTTGCCCTGCAGGAGAACAGAGCTGGAAATCAGGTTGGTGGGGTGGGGTGGGGTGGAAATGGGGTTTTTACAGTATCCTTCCCCTGCCATGCCCACCAAGCCATGCCACGCCATGCCCACCGAACAGGCAGTAAACAAATTTGAATACCACCACTGTCTAGACTAGAGGGCATCAGCCCATCGAAAGCAGCGATACCCACACAGCCCAATATTTACCATCTCAGCACTGATTTCTAAAGCATACGTTTTTCAAGTTTATGTGCCAACTGTCATCATGTATTAATCAAAATAAGTTCACCATCTTAAGCCTGGAGATGGTAAAGGTTCTTTACAGTTGCCTTGAGTAGACAGAAATTGAGTAGATAGAAATTAGGAATAGAGAATTATAATTGGAACTGAAGGAACATCATTTGTTCAAAAGGAAGTGAAGTGGTAGAAACGGGGAAGAAGCTGCACTGTGAGTCAGAAGTGCCCACTTCTGCTCAGAAATTTGGGGATAAAATCTGGTAGTGCAGCAAAGAGCGTTTGAGTTGGAAAATTGTGGTGGGGGACCCTATCAAATCGATGCCATTGTTAGGGCCTATAATTGCCTGCCCGTCGCAATAGAGGTGAGTGGCGCTTCTTAGAAGCAATTTGCAGCTCTTTCAAAGTTGTAATGATGGGGACATTCATTAGAGAGAGATGGGACCCCCCCAAAAAAGTGCAGAGAAGAGCAACAAAGATGATTAGGGGACTGGAGGCTGAAACATATGAAGAACAGTTACAGGAATTGAATATGTCTAGTTTAATGAAAAAAGGACTAGGGAGGACATGATAGCAGTCTTCCAATATCTCAGGGGTTGCCATAAAGAAGAGGGTGGGGGGGGTCAAACCTGAAGGCAGGACAAAAAGCAATGAATGGAAACTAATCAAGAAGAGAAGCAACCTAGAAGGAGAAATTTCCTGACAGAACAATTAACCAGTGGAACAGTTTCCCTTCAGAAACTGTGGATGCTCCAACACTGTAGATTTTAAAGAAGAGATTGGACAATCATTTGTCTGAAGTGGTATTAGGGCAGTGGTGGCTAACCTTTTTGGGCTCCGTGTACACGTGTGCCAGCACCCATAAGGCAATGTGCGTGCAACCCCTGCCCATGCGCATGCAATCCTTTCCCCCTTTACCTGTACTGCGCCTCAGCTGATTTTTGGCTGGTTTAAGGCCTTTTTTGGCCTCCCAGAGGCTTGAAAAAAGCCTCTGCAGGCTTTGCAGATGAATAATAGGCCCGTTTCATCACTTCCGGTATTACAAGAAGTGATGAAATGGGCCTATTATTCGATCTGCAAAGCCTGCAGAGGCTTTTTTGAAGCCACTGGGAGGCCGAAAAAGGCCTCAAACCAGCTGAAAAATCAGCTGTGAGGCACACACCTGCGCAGTGAGGCGAGTTTGCCTGCAGCTCACGTGTCCGCACAAATGGCTCTGCGTGTCAGCCGTGGCACGCATGCCATAGGTTCACCATCACGGGTATAGGGTTTCCTGCCTGAGCAGGGGCTTGGACTAGAAGATCTCCAAGACCCCCTTCCAACTCTGTTATTCTATTATTCTGTCAAAAACTCTGCTGTGATTGTCCTAGTTGACTCCTTTCTCCAGGAGAGGCGGAAGAATGAACTCACTAGAGAAGACTGAGGAATGGAAATATCCGGGACAATTGGAGAAGGCCAAGTATAGTGGAGTGTATACCTTGGATTTCAGAAAGGGGGTTTTAAAGTCAAGGCAACAAAAGGAGGGTTCTGTGGCAGAAAAAAAAACTCAAGCTAGAACAAGTTAATGTGCCGTGCAACAATTCCCTTTGTCTCAGGGAAGAGATGAAGCATTTACAAGAAGGAGATCACAAGAAGGACGGTAGAAACCCTGAAAATTTATACCATGGGAAGAGCGTAGGCAAGCAGGGAGTCTGGAGCCTCAGAAATGGTTTCAGAAAATAAAAGCTCAGAATGAGAAAGATACTTCAACAGGTTTGTTCAAAATAGAAAGGAAAGATTCTGCATGGCAGCCATTAAATGGACATGGCAGCAACCAGAATTCTGAAAGGGATAGAAAAGAGCCAAAGAACGGAGAAACGGGGAGGCCGCTTCTAACCAGAAGAAAGTTGGAACCAGGGATTGGGGCAGGTATCCAAGTGGAGCCAGACCATCTGGGTGCTTCCATTTCGATTCCTCTGCTGGGCGGGAGGTTGGACTGGATGATCTCCAGGGCCCCTTCCAGTTCTAGGAGGGTTGTTGCTAGGAATGGGTGCATCCTTTCAGGGTCTCAGTGGTGCCAACGCAGGAGGAAGAGAAAGCAGCACATCAGGGTTCCTGCTTATGGTACCTGGATCTAAAATGGGAAGAGTCTGCATAGTTGGGCCTTTCTGTGCACCAAATTATGCAACCTGGCTGCCGCAGGCTTCATGCCAGATTCAGGGGCCAGATTCAGCTGGAGTACAAGGATTTTCCAGCCCTGTGGAGGCCAGGAATGCAAATACCAGAAAATGCTAAGCATACGTTTCAATTCTCCCATCAAAGGGGCTTTAGTTGAATTGTGTGCATTAATATTATTAATATTGTCACATGTCATTTTGCTGCAGAGACCCTTTGTTCTGGTCCTGTACATTGATGGAAATGATGATAATTATAACAAGGTTAGATTATGATGATTACCGCTGTGTTATAGGCACACTGCTGTAACCTATGGCATTTTATAGTTATTGTTTAATAATAGCATCATAGTAAGTTCCTCCAGGTGTCATATAAACTAAACACTCGATTTGTAACACTAGAAGCAATTGCATGAAAGAGTGAAGAGAGTGGTTTGGCCACCCAAAACATCCTCAGCTTCACATTGGAGCTATGCCTCCTTTGGGCTAAATCAAATTGCAAGACGCAGCAAAGTTCACACACACTTTCCATCAATGGAACCAGGGATTCCAATCCAACAAGGAGTTTCCACTTGGGGAGAGAGGCAGAAGAGTCAAAGGAGAATGGGATAAGATCTGTTTTCATCTGAGTAAGATTTTAGTGGCCAAATAGATCTGACGGCCATATGAGTCCAGAGTTCATTTGCTTGTGAGATGGAATCGTTGGTTTCTGGCAGTATGGAATGTATAGTCTTTCTGCAGGTGCCTTGCATGGCTTGGCCTCTGGGCATCAACCCTGGATCCTCAATAACAGGATTATTCATTCCTGATGGAGTCATGAATTGGGCTCATCTTTTAGTTGCTCACTGGTCAACTTCGTTCACTTGGGATCAGGGGTGCGATTCAACCAGTGTAACAACCGGTTCAGCGAGCGCGCCAAATGTCTGCTTCTCGTGCGTGCAGAGTGTTTGCTATTGACCTTCTCCAGCAATCCCTGTGTGTTAAACAGCTGGCGCACGGCAATCCTCTGTGCTGCGCAGATCAGCCGAGCTTGAAAAACAGGATATAAAGCACAGCTCAGAGCCCGGGCGGCCCCAACAGCTGATCATCGGAGCAAACTGAACCGGTTCTCTCCCAGCTGATCCTTGGAGCTACTGGTTCGGCCGAACCATGCCAAACTGGTAGAATCCCACTCCTGCTTGGGATGCCAACAAAAGGTTAGCCATGGCAGTTTCTGAAAAGGAGGAGGTGAGCCTCTGGCAGTGGAAGTGCCACTGCATTGGCGCCTTTAGACGCAGTCCTGTATTGCCTGGTCTGGTGCCCAGATCCTTCTGAAAACGGGAACCTTGGCCTGGCTGAGCCTTGGGGAAGAACTCATCGGGCTAAGCGTCAGGGTCTCTGGGAAGATCACATTTGCATAAGGCTCTTTAAAAATGCCAGGCAAGATTTATGGAGGGTTGACACATTACATGGCTTTCAGCACTTTTCCTGCTGGGATCTGTCGGACACCAAGTACCATGATTCCCTGACAAAATGGCCATAGAGAATTAAGTTGCATTTGCTTGCATCAGGTATGAAGCCGTGTATCCTGGCCTTTGGGATCGTAATTCCCATACGTTGGAGAATATGGGAGTTGAGGTCTAAGGTACCTGGAAGACATTGAATGGGGTATTTAAAAATCGCTGTAATCTTCTGAAATTGCTGAACCTGGAAATATTTGGGCCTTCCTGCTTGGTATCTCATGAAATGTTGGCTCTCTTGTCCTTTAAAAGTAATAGTAATTTCACTTCCAGGGGTCTGGAAGGGTCCTTTTTGCAAGGAGGCTGGTTGGGCCTGGGAGGCTGCCACCCAGTCTGCTCCTGGCAATGGAGTAAAGCAAAGTTCAGTCAGCGGATTCGATTAAATGGGTGTTCCATAAAGCAGGGGTCTCCCACCTTGGCCACTTTAAGCCTGGCAGACTTCAACTTCCAGAGCTTTGCTGGCTGGGGAATTCTGGGAGTTGAAGTCCTCCAGGCTTAAAGGACCCCGCAACCATCATAAATACAAACCGAAGCATCCTAATCTTGATCACATGACCATGGCGATGCTGCAACAGTTGTAAATGTGAAAAACAACTATAGGTCACTTTTTTCAGTGGTGTTGTAACTTTGAATGGTCACTAAATGAACTGTTGCAAGTAAAGGACTACCTGTAATTTAACAAAACTTGGGGAAAAGGGAGGAATTAAAACTAATTGCCTGAAAATGTGCAGGAAATCAGAGCATTGCCAATTATCCTTTTTTGCAGAAGACTTGCATAATTTTTGTAATATTTCTTGGGTGATTATGTCAAATGTTTCATGTAACTCTTAGAACAAAAGTCAATATTTGTGTATTAGGCAAGGAAATTGTATCATAAACAGGAATTTTCTAGTGACTCAGAGTTCCAGGAACCCCATTTATAATTAGATCATTTGTGCAAATAAGAACAAGTTAGAACAATTACTCATCATGCTATGCATTTTTACCTCTGCAGATTAATTGCATTTTCAAAAGTGGGGGCCTTGTCAATCTCTGGCAATGCGGAGGTTGGAACACATACACACATCTCTGGTTCCTAATTATTTAGAAGTAAATTCTGTTTCAACTGGTATTCCTGTGTAAAATGTTGATTTAAATAACATTAACAATCATAACATGTGCAATGTGATGTGAACAAGAAAGTCTAATGAAGGGTGTCCTTCTGCACTCCCTCAAAAGGGCAAGTGCTCCTGTGACATCTCCATGGGTTATTTGTTTCTGTGCAGGCTGTAAAGGCGAAGAAAAAAAAGAATCCTTCAAGCCAAACTCAAATCCTTGAGAATTGTGGAATTGTCCTCTTTGGGGATGAGATATAGACTCCTCAGTCTAGCCTACTGGAACTCCTGGTCTTTTCTTGTGATCTGAGCCTGCTGGGTGTATTTTAGCATCAGCTGCAAAGAAGAGTTGTCTTTCCACGGGGTTTTGGCTCCCCCTTGTGCTGGTGCCCTGGGGGTGGGGGTGGGGGCAGAGCAGCTGGAGACCCAGAAGGGGTTCCTGCCCAGGACCCCAAAGGTGTCCTGATTTGGGAAGTGAGCTCCATGGATAGCGGTGGAGCAGAGCAAAAGAGCAACTCCTTTGGATCTGCTGCCACACGAGGCTCCTTCTTACCATTTTTTAGAATTTTAGAACCAATCCAAACATTTGAACAGTTGATACTCCCTACTTTGGAACCGCTTTGAATGAAAGTAGGGTTTTTTTTAAAAAAAATGGGAAGGGTTAGGGAAAAAGCGAAGGAGTGGGAAAACACAATGTTTTGGGAGGTTGGAAATTATGGGAGATAGTCATGCTGCACCCCACCCCAACCCGGGAGGCCTGCATGGGTGGTGGGTTGGGGAGAAGCACCAGAGGAGAGTCCCCCAAAGGATGGCCCCCTCAGCCCAGGTCCCTGCTGGCTCCTCCCTGTAGCAACGGGAAGGAAAGAAGCCCCTTGCAAAGCCTTCTGGGAACTTCTGGGAAGAAGGGCATCCGTCCTCCCGGCTGGCCCAGAGTCCTCGGGCTGCTTTTCAGGCAGTGCTGTGCTGGGACAGGTGGGAGATCGTAAGATCTTCTCCACGCCATATGGTGAGAAAAGCCTGTGGTAATTTGGTGACGATACAAGTCAGGAGCCAACCTGACCTTTCCCCTTTTGGGTCTTCCAGGATGAAGTCATTGCTGCTTCAGAAAAAGTAACTGTGAAGCTTGAGGACTTGGCCCAATGGGCCCGGACAGACATCTCCAAGTGGAAACGTGGCCTCCGGGATGAAGCCTTCACACCTCTGGAACTGAGGAAAGAGGGGCAAAGGGAAGCCCTAAGCAAGTTCCGGCAATCCACACACAACAGTGGCCTCAATTTCAAGGATATTTTGAAGGAAAAGGCTGACTTGGGTGAGTGCTCCTTTGGTTCTTGTGTGAGATGGCTTCTGTGGTTATTGAGGGGACCGATTTTCTTGGGCTTTTCTTGACTGAAGGGAGACAGGATGTGTGGCAGAGACTCGGGGAATCTGACTTCAAAGGTGACTGTAAAATGAAGGAACATTCAAGTGTCTGTTGGGCTGCAGAAGTTGAAGCGTGTTGAAAGTTCACTGGAGGGCAAGGAGGGCAAGGAGTGTGAACGATATTTAAGCAGAGTAGATGCATGAGAGTCAATGCAAACTGCCAGAATTTAGAAGGAAGGCCAAGGCTGCCTCTGCTGCCCTCCCTATGGGTCCTTGTGTAAGACGGTCAAGAGAGGGATTTTTTCCCGTGTGTGTGACTTTCATTGGGCACCCTTACTCATTTCAGTTGGGTTTTGTGATGAATTAGGTGTTTTGCTTCTTTCTTTGTAAAGCCTGGAGCTTAATACGGTTGCTTTCTCCCTGGTCATTTCATTGCCCATTGGGTGAACCCATGAAAGATTCCCTTCCTAGGTCTGGAAGATACAAGGCTGGCTCAGCCTCTCTCCCTCTCTGGCCTCTTCTGCCCCCCACCAATCTGCCTCCGCCATCTAAGCTGGGGAGAGTTCAGTCTCACTCAGATCAAAACACTCTTAGAGGCCTGGATGTTAAACATTGACCACTTTTGCGTTAGTTAGAAGGTTACGAGGATCACATCCCCAGCTGCCCCTGTTAAAGCTTTCCATGTTTTAGTTATATTTCTACAAGCTGTTAGGCTTTTCAGAGACAGAGCTTTTTTAAAGACTATCTTCTGATTTGTAAGCTTCTAATAAACTGCATACATATACTCGTGTACCTAATCAGAAACTAGCAAGTTTACCCAGAAACCAAAATAATTAAAATAAATCTTCAGAGATGTCTTTACAAAATCTCATCTTGATATGTTTTGCCCAAGAATTTGAGTGGCACAATCAAGACATAATCCAAAGGGCTTAAGGAAATCATGTTATCTGGCAGGGCCATGTAAGGGGGGCAGGGAAATCGTCTATCCCATCGGATTGTATCAGTTGAAGTGTCTCCAACAGACAGGACGTCTTCCTTTCAGAAATTTTACACTCTGCTTGGGAAATCCCAAAACGCAGGGGGGACTCTGCAAGTTTCCAAGCTCTGTGTAGAAGCCCCATGAAAGTTCAGGCCTTGACTTATCATGGTTTCTTCATTCAAAGCTTCAGGGAACCAGAAGATGACCTCCTTGTTTTTTGGAGGTACATAATATGGACATAATCTTTCATCTTTGTTTCATTGCTGGTGGGTCTTGTGACCGTTTGGACTTTCTATCTCATCCTTAAGTGGACAGGAGTAGATTTTTTTCTTTCTGAGAAAGACTCACTGCCTGGCAGAGTTGGGGTTTTATTTCAATCAGAAGGTGGGGTTCTGACGGAAGAAGGTGGAGCCTCTTCGCTGACAGACCGTAGATCGCGACTTTCCGCGGCTCTGGTCCGTGCTCTTTCATTGGAGAGACCCAATCATTACGATGAGGGGCTGAAGCTGCCTTGGAGGGGCGGCGGAGTAAGGGGAAGCCGCAAGCCAGGGTGAGGTGAGCCGCATCTCCCCTCCTGGGCTTGGTCTTTTTCCCCCGAAGCAGTGGTTTAAAATGGCCACCCCGAAGAGGAGGACTCAGCTGGATTAAGATTTATGCAGGAGGGAAAGAAGAGGTGGATAACATCTGAACCGGGACAATTGGGCGATGCAACTAAACAAAAGTACCCCGGGATTAAGGTAACATGGAATTTTTAAGAAAAGAAAAGTAAGCAGCGAAATTACAAAGGGACAGGAAAAAAAATAAGAAAGTATTTCTGACAGCTAAGCGGGGCTTCGAACCGAGAAAGAAAGAAGCTGGAACTAAAGATTTAATTAAATTGGACTAAAATATTTTGGGAATAAACAGGCATAAAATAAAGCTGGACTTAAGATTGTCAAAAAATAATAATAATAAAGTTTACAAATTGGAGACTAGACTATGTTGGAATATTGAGGTTAAACCCTAAATAAAAATATAGGGGGAAAAGGTGAAGACTTTGTATAATGGAGAATGCCACCTTTTGACAAAAACTTGAGCTCAAACAAGGAAAAGCATCCTGTTTCTGAATGAACTTGTGTGGATATAATCTTAAAGAAATATTGAAACAAAGTAAGAATTTTAGAAAGTGAAAGAAGAATCAGAATAAAGAAAAAAGCAAGGAAAGACTGACTGTGCGATTGATTGATGTTTTTGGTATAGACCCTGGGCTGGAACAATTGAGAACTTTAGAAAATTGAAAGAAGAAAGAGGGAAAGTAAAAGTGGTTTTTTTGTGGACTTTAACGATCAAAAAATATAAGATCGTGTAATGATGATATCTCTTTGGGAATTAAAAATGGAACTTAAAAATATGAGAGAATTACTACAGGAAAGAGGCAAATCACTTTGCTCTGTGTTAGAAAAAATGGAAATGGTGATTGAAGAACAAGAAGAAAGAGCTTCAGAGGAGGAGGAGTTGACTCAAGGAGAAGACATTTTAAATAGACAATTAACACAAAGAACACCACAAAGATGTGGGGAAAGAAGGAAGGTTAAAAAGTTGAGATTTAAGAAGGCAATCAAAAGGGGGAATACCTGTGAAGTTGGGAAAGACAGAAAGACCCAGCAGAAAAGGGGAAAGGAAGATGTTAAGAAAGAGAGGGATATAAACTGGAATGAGAAAAGATATGGGGAAAAGAGGGGGAGGAGAAGCAGTAAGAAACAGGTGCGTGAAATCAAGAAATACAGAAATAGTAAAATGTTGAAAAGAAATTGTTTTTTCAGAGATAATGGTTGATGAATTAAAAAGGGGATTCTGCAGGGTGATAAGAGGTAATAAGAATATTTCTGCAATTAAAAATATTTAGAAAATAGGGTAATATAGATATTGATAACTCTTATTAAAAATTAAGGGGGGGAAATATGCTGCGGAATCCAAATGAAACAATGTAATGATTATTATTGTAACTTCTTAAAAATAATGGTTTATTGAGAATTAAGACGAGGGAATAAAGGTATATTTTAACCATTGAGGTGTCACACTCAAAGCAGTAAAAGGCGGGGGAAAACCTATACTTGTTTTTTTTCTTTAGTGTTAAAATTTGTATTAATGTAGAATTTATAAAAAGAATGTGTAATGGAAAGGGAATATGACAGACTAAAGAACCAACTAAATTAATAAGTCATATAGACTATTAAAAGCAAGGAGAGACATTGGCAACTTATTATTATTATTAGGCAAACACATTGTTTATCTTTATTTTTAAAATAAATATTAAAGGATTATATTTGAAATAATTGAAATGAAACAAAAAGATGTTTCAACTGAGATTAATGAAAGAGGCCAGAAGTAATGTGTTTGTTTCTCTCCTTACTGAAAATTTGGAATGGAAAAGGTAATAACAGAATTAAGTATGCATATATGAATGTATAATTGCTGTCATATTTGTATGTAAAGGTGATGACCCGGAAACATGTTGTCCACTAAAAGGAGATTTTTGTTTTTATGTGAAAAACTGAATAAAATTTGTTAAAAAAAACAGAAGGTGGGATTCCCAAGATGGTGGAAGATTGGGAAAGAGTTCTGATGTGTGGCAGAGTTTTTACTTCTTTATCCCATTAATTTTTTTAAAAAAAAAATTCTTTTCTTTATAAATATGGTTTGGTTATTAGTCTTTTTAAAAAGTCCTGATGAGTATTTTTAAAAGTTTCTGATTTGACTGTGGATAAATTAGCAGAGATTGTTTATTGTTTATTTTCTACATTAGCAGAGATTGTTTATTCAGATTTTTCACAACCATTATTTGCCAAAGACTCATGTAATCCTCAACTTTTCCTTGGGAAAACAGACCAGTAGTCTTTGCACAACCCTTTGAGAAGGAATCCAAGTTGGCAAATTGCCAGCGTGCAAGCAGAGTCCAACTTGGCTCGTTTTGCACAAGGAGGACAGTGGGCCAGATGTGTAACTTGTAGTTATTTCTAAGCCCAGGATGACTGTGAATTATTCTTTACACATCTCGTTGTGTCGCGTGATGCAAGTATAATTCTGGCTTGTTTGGGATTGTAAAGTTTATGGGTCAGTGTGTCAATTGTGTGTGTGTTAGCCAAGGAAACAACTTTGTTTTGTTATCCCAGGATTAGGGTATAATGTAGTGTGTGAGCCAGCAATAGTGTCTGAGGCCAAAATGACAGAGAAAAGCTTTCCCCAGAATCCCCATAATAAAACTGTCCACTCCAGAATATTTGACAACATGAAACTGACCAAATAGATCAGCCCGGATGGAGGCCAGGCTGTAAAAATGCTCCAGGTAACAAAGCCCTAGAGGAAACCACAAGGGCTTCCTTCGGATCTCCCTCTGTTGCTGGCCTAGCTGTGCAACTCATGCTGGAGTCATCCTGGCCAATGAAAACAGTGTTTGAAGGATGCTGGGATCAAGGAATTGGGCTGGCCCTGGAAAGAGAAAGGAACTGGATGGGTCAACTTCTGGTCTAGACATTGAGCCCGTTTTATCCCGTCCAGTGCATCTGAGAAAGTTTTTACAGAAGTAAGATTAAAGAAATAAACTCCAAAGCTCCAAAGGCAGCTGAAGGTAACTGTTCTATTGAGATGGTTGGGTGCCAACGAAAAGCTGATGTGATGAAATCGGTCAGGTTCCTAGGAATCCTAATGTTATTCACTGGCTAAAACAAATGGGGATCGGAATGCGAAGCCCCTTTGCTCTTTGCAGTGCTCAGAAAAGCTCAGCAGAGGACGGTTGAGGGCCTCGGTGGGTCTCCGTTCCACTCCTGGAGGGAAGTCCCAATTCCAAAAGGCTCCTAGTCAGCAGGAGAGCAGCGGTTGCAACCGTCACTTGATTTATATCAGGAATGCTGTTTCTTTTAGACATTTATCAAAATAACAGAAGTTCAGCCTTACCGTATAGATAGTAATAGAACTGGTTGTGGAATGTGTTA